TCAGTAGGGAGGATCGGTTGGGTCTTTGGGGGTAGGGTCGGCCGGTCTCTTCCTTTTCTTCTGGTCTCAGAGGATCGAGTGCATTGATTCCCCCTTAGATAGCTCTATAGCAGGGAGACGAGGCTTCACCTTCACAAGATCAGTTGTTGTATTGGCAACGATGGTATTGTCGACGGGTAGGTCCTACAACTGTAGGTGCATCGCTCTATGTCACGTCCCTCAGTAGGGACAGGAGTTTGGGATGGCTGTGAATGGGTTGGAATTGCCCAAGCTTAGTTTAGTTGTTGGTAGGGAATGACTTGAGAAAAAATACTTTCCCATAAACGGCACCAAGTGTTTGATAAGAAAAACGAACAACATCACGAACCTCGACCCGGACTGAGAGCAACTCGACAAATGAGTTGGACATGTGACATGCAAAACAGAACACACTCTGATGCTAAAGTCAGTAGCTGGCCGAACTAAACTCGAGAGAGAATTTAATTTTTTCGTACCTGAAAATGGAACAAATGAGTTTCGTTTATAGGCGACTTCCTCGGTAATATTCTCGACAAGGCTTGAATGGCTCTTTAAGGTGATCGTGAATTACAACGTGTTATCGTGGAGTCTGTCGTAGCTGAGGGTGAGCTGAGATGAAACGAATATGTTCAACAAATGAATTGGAACATATTTTTATAAGCTTGGTCGGCTTAGCCACACAAAGCTTCTGCTCGGTTACAAGAAATGGAATCAAGAGGTGACGAAACTTCAGGCTTGCCAATGAAAGCCACGTGTAACACGTATCATCCAACCAACGTGTACCACATGTATGGTGAGAATTGCCTCCATCACTTTGAAAAATACAAACTTTGATATTGCATGAGAAATCCATGATTAAATTTTACGGTGTTGTTGGATGCAAGTAATAAATATAACAAAAAAATAACAAACAAATCTCATTTTTACAAGATTTGCACCAGGATTCCAAATATGGACGACAATAGCACAATAGTAAAGTGATAAAACAGGAGTAAATTGGTCCCATTTACAAGTTTTACATGACCTTATTTTAAAGCAATGATAAAATATGAATAAAGAATATAATTACATAGGTTGAATTGTAGTGATGGTCAATGTTCAATACTTATGATTGACTGATATGCATCAATTAGGCTGTTATTAATGTTGGGAAATCAACGATCCTGTATAATTTCCCATTCCACAAAAAATATCCAGCACAACTAAGAATATGCAAATTGGAAGAAAAGTAGTAAACACAAGTAAATGACACAACAAATTAAACTAGTTCACCACTAAGGGCTACGTCCAGTATTCCACTTAGATGTGGATAATTTACTAATACTGTTAAGGATTAGATACAATAACACTCCCCAAAATATCCCCTAGAGGTCCCAACAAAAGCTTCCTAGATTCTAAGTATTTTACACAATTAATACTTATGTACAGGAATGAAAACTCACAAGAATCAAGATCTAAATACGAATATATTGATCTTGATGAGCTCCAATGCTTCTGCCAATGCCCGAGCCTCTCCCTTGAAACTGCCACAAAACCCTCTGAAAAACGGCTAAAAAATGGCTAGACAATAACCCTTTTCGGCTACAAAACCCTAAATCTAAAACTGCACTTTTATAACATCGAAACAGCACAATGGCACTACGAAAATAAATTCGTAGCGTCCCCACTATCTGGACAGTACCGCGGCATTGTCCCCTAGCATCATGGCGCTGCCTCCTCGACCCGTGTGGCCTGCAGCTTCTGCTTTCCCCTGTTTACATTCATGCTTGGAGACAAAGCGACAATTCTTTTCCTCCCACTACATCAATAGTATCTCTTCATCTTGACACCCTCTGACAAAGCACAGTTCTGACTTCATTATCAACGAACTGATCCATACTGCTTGGCTCTACCCAAGCATCGTCTGACTCTGCCACAAGATTGGGCAACTCTACGTGGTTTTGTCCCTCAAACTTAGAGACATAGCCACGTACTCCTACTTGATCTAAGTGGTTCCCGCTGCTTCTTTCTTCGATCAAATCCACTGACCTCTGAAAGAAGATTTTTTCTTTGTATTTGGCTTGACACTCCCACCCAAGCATGTCACCACAATATAAACGGAACCCATACCCTTCAATGCACTAATTTGCCTATATGACTTCACCAGCTCGCCTGAACGTCTAACAACTGAGGTATGAACTCGATGGCCTATCAAATTCTCGTTTCCCTATTCTGTACTTCTCAACTGTTTAACTTGAGCTGATGACAGATTCTTTTTATCTGTTTTGGCCATCAATGTTGTTGGTCCTCTAAGGTCTCGTCCTGAACCATTTGCAGCTACTATGTGCATTGTTAGTCTCAGTGAACCATTGGCCATCCCAAACTTTGACACGTGAACAAAATATCTCGCCAGCACCCTGGATTCCCTCTTGAGCTTCCAGCAACCCCCACTAAACTCGCTGCTGTAGCCATCGTCATCTAGCTTCCCTATGAATAACAATTAAATTTGAAGCTAGGAATATACCTGACGTCTCGTAGCACCAACTCGACCCTTTTGCTTGTCTTAAAACAAACATCTCCAATTCCTCTCACATTGGAGATACTCCCATTTCCCATCTTCACTAAGCCACAGCCACCTGTAGTAAGAGATAAGAACCAACGTCTATCTGAAGCAACGTGCGCTGATGCTGTAGTTTCTATTACCCACTGGTCTACAGATATGTTCCCCTGAACACAGGCCAGAAACTCTTCAATCCGTTCTTCTTCTGTTTCAACATTTGCAGTATTGTTCCCCTTCTCAAAATCTTCTTTGAACTTCCTGCAAAAACGTTTAACATGTCCCTTATTGTGCCAGTAATAACATTCCACTTCTCCACTGGAACTCCCACTACCCTTGTTATATCCCTGCTGCTGCTTCCCATTCATCTTTGTCTTCCCTTTGTTCTGAGCTACCAAAGCTGATTCAACCCCATTTTTGCCCCTGAAGTAGATGCATACATTTTCCCTAATTTTCTCCGGGTTTCCTCAGATAAGACGGCATCACAAATAGCTAAAAATTTTAAGCTATTTTTCTCTAGCGAATTCGACATGGCAGTCTTAATCATTTCCCAACTGTCAGGCAAAGATGTCAACAGCCTCATAGCCTTTCACCTCTTCCTCAATCTTGACACCCATCCCTTATAATTTGTTCAAGATATCAGTGAGTTTGTTAATGTGGGAACTCACCGAGGTTTCCTCCTCCATGTGGATATTAAAATACTTCGTTTGTAGAAATATTTTTGTATTCGCAGAAGGTTTTTCATACCTGTCTTGCAAGGCCTTCAACAATTCCTTTGATGTAGTCTCTTTTGCCACAAGACTACAAACATTCATTAACAAGACATTCCAATGTTCGCAACGACCTGCTCATCCATCTCTTCCCAATCCTTGTCGGTTATATCCGCTGGTCTCTCCCCTAAAGTCTTGTGTATCTTCTTGTATATAAGAAGATCCATTACCTGCATCTTCCAAAAACTGAAATTCTCCCCATTGAAGTTCAGAACCCTTTCATAATAATGGTGTGCGTGATATTTGTCTCCTATGATGCTGCAACCCTACTTCTCTTATACCACTTGTTGGGAAATCAACGGTCTTGTATAATTTCCCATTCCACAGAAAATATCTAACACAACCAAGCATATGCAAATAGGAAGAAAAGCAGTAAAGACAAGTAAACGACATAACAAATTATACTGGTTCATCACTAAGGGCTACGTTCAGTCTTCCACTTAGATGTGGGTTTTCCACTAAAATTATTAAAGATTTGATACAATAACACTCCTCAAAATATCCTCTGGAGGTCCCAACAAAGGTCCCCTAGCTTCTAAGTATTTTACACAATTAATACCTAGGTACAGGAATGAAAAACTCACAAGAATCAAGATCTAAATACCCTGAATATGTTGATCTTGATGAGCCCCAATGCTTATGCCAATGCTCGAGCCTCTCCCTTGAGACTGCCACGAAAACCCTCTAAAAACGGCTCAAAATCGACTGGACAATACCTTTTTTCGGATACAAAACCATAAACCCGAAACTGCACTTCTATAAACATCGAAACAGCACCATGGCGCTACAAAAATAAAATCATAGCGTCCCCACCATCTGGACAGTGCCACGGGCGGTGCCGCAACGCTGCCCTCCTCGGCCCGTGTGGCCTACAGCTTCCGCTTTCCCTGTTTTCATTCATGCTTTGATCCCGATGCATCCCAGCTTGATTCCGACTCTTCTCTAGCTCGTTCCAACTTTGTTTTGACTCTACCAATCCCAACAATTAAGGCGTGATTCTCATATGCATAAAAGAAAAGGAGTGTATATGTGATTTTCTACAGTAGAAGTATGTTGCTGTGCTATTTTTGTTTACTATTACCTTAAGAGATCCATTTATAAAGAAAGATATGTGTATTCTTGGAGAGAACTTGTGGATTAGGTCCAATACTTAGCCACTTTCCATAGCGCGAGAGAACTTGTTGAGGGAGAGGGAGTGGGAGCGGTATTCTTGGAGTTCAAGATCTGTTCTGCATGGGATCTAATTTGAGTTGATTTCGCCAAGGGGAATTCTCAATGATCTTTAAATGAAGCAGATATCATTCACACTAATGATCAATCAGTAAATATGTTTACGAATGCAGTTATGTTAGGATGTTTGAGAAGTTAGAAAATAAATTGAAATTTACAAATTAAAACAGGGCGATAAAATTTTTTTAATTTCAAGAGTTGTGAATGTGATTTTTGAACTCGTTGAATCTCAAGGAAGAAATGCCTTATAGCCATTTCCAAGAGTCGTTCTGGAATATGAAAAAGAGTTGATTGTTACATGGGATATTCGTTTTAGAATAATTCACATAGACTCTGCTTAGAAATAAGTATTGTTTTCATGAAACATTAATTTGCTTAGAAAATAAAAAACGGACAAAAACAAACTTTTATTTCTTCAGATAGCAAACTTAGGTGTTCCAAACTGATCAGTCCTTCTTACCACTACCCGCTCGGAAAAACCTCCTCCGAAAAACAAAGGCAAAGGCAGTGGAAAGAGCGAGCAAGGTTAACAAAAAAAGCTTAGGAAGGGAGAGATGATAGATGAGTGAGTCCTTGAGCTCGCCAATAGCGACGCCCAAACTCGGAGGGTGGCGGGGGAGCCACACGAACTGGTGGGGGCATTGCATGTGAAGGGCTCTGGTGTTGTTTTGGTTACAATCGATGAGAGTAACGCCGTTTCGGTCGAAGCACAATACGATTTCGAACAATTGATGTCTCCCGGTGTGGGCATTAACATTGCAACGTAAGAATGGCGTCCTATTGGTAGCGGCCTGAATGGCGGCTTCAATGGCATTGTAGTTGTGGATCATACCGGTGGGGTTGTGGATGATGGCGAGGAGGTCGTAGTTGTGGTTTCTGCGAATGTCTAGAGCGGCTTCTAAATAAGCAGTCTGTCGAAAGTTCGGATATGAGCACTTGCCATGAGTTTCCCATTCGTGCTGCCAAAACGATTGGTTACGCCAATTCTGCACGTCTGGCCAATATGTGTCCAGTTGCTGTCTTTGAGATGCTGTGATCTAGACATCATAAGAAATAATAAGGATGACTATGTTAAGCTTATAAAAATTCATAAATCAGATTAAAGGATAATTATTTGCAGCCTATAAAAAGTCATATTAAATTAGGAGTATAGATGCGTATCTTAGCCTAAATCTATAACTAAATTAGTTTTCTTTGTTTTTCTTTTAGATGTAAAATTGAGCTAAAAGGCTAATCGATCTGGTTTTCGATGCAACCGTTAGGTTTGGATTTTGGCCCAATTTTCACCTAGAAAGCATTACAATTTTATTTTCTAACGACGGGGTTTGACCCGAAATTCTTTGTAGAACATGGACGTTTTTGAAGACAGAGAGTAAAACAATGAATTTGGCTATCACCGGTAGAATTAGCTTGCATGAAAAACATGAAAAACATCAATAATAATGTTTTCTCAACCTATATTTTACGTCTTTACCTAACGTAGGTTATTGGAGTCCAATTATAACTAAATAGTTTGATTCAATTTTGCCCTTAGAATTTTTAAATTCTACAAATCTACCCTTACACCTTTTAATATTTATTATACACGTTTGGATCATAAATGGTAAGGAAGGTATTTTAATAAACAAGAAGTAAAAGATTTGAGAACATAATTGAGACTTAAAAAGTTACCTACTTATTATGTTTATAATGAAGCTTTAAGGAAGAAGAAGGCGCAGGAAGATTGAACTACATATGCAAACAAAAGATTGAAGAAGATATGATACGGACCTGAGCTGGATCAAAGGGAGGTCCAGGACAATTAATAAGTGGACGAGGAGAGTTGTTAATGCCGGGCCACAGACCATGAATTGTGAATGTTGGCAGAGGCGGTGTACCGTGACATGTGACGTTGACGCCGGTGCATTTGTTTGGCCCCCATTGTTGGACCATCAGAAAGTAGTCATATCCTTTAGCTCCCATGAAGAACATGAATACGAATACGAGAAGGAGAAATAGAGCTTTAGCCATGGTGGGTTTAGTTGCTGTGTTAATATGGAAACAAGGTTGGGTTTATATAATGGACTATTCTTTGCAAAACTTCGTTGGCTTTTCTCTCTATATGGATCTATAAGAATCTTTTTATTACTTTATTATTGTACCATTTACCTTGAAATTGCTATGCAGATTTGTGTTCATATTGATAAGTCACACATTAACATAACTTTTGTTTTGTTTGTTTTTTTTTTCTATTGTGAACTTTTTAAGTTGATTAATTGTTTTGAAATAGTACCAATCTTCTCTTAAGTGATGTCTATGAAAAAAATAAAAATAAAAAATAGCAGCTTAAGATAAACACACATCAAGAAAACCAAAAAATAAAAGCAAAGAGGATAACAGGGAAAAAAATTCACAAGAACAAAGGCAGAACAATGCTGTCACCCAACTAAACAAAACAAAAACTTAGAAAAATTATTGCCAGCACCCTATATTTTAAGAACGATGTTGGGTCGATTTTTATTAAGCTAACTATTTATAAAGGTAAAATCATGATATGATATGATAACAAAGGAAATAAGTGCTCTCGTGCTACTAAAATTTTTATCTATAAACACAATGAATACAAACTCCAAGCTTAGCCTTGGGACCCATTTAGAGAATTATGTCTCCAAAATTACCCCTCTAAGTATAATTTATTTTGGATAGATTAAAACAAAATTTTTGGCCACATACAAATTATTTATAAGTATACCAATAATAATATTATTATTGTTATCATAATAACTTATATTATTAACATCACATCACACTTTATCTTCCTCAGAAATATATAACAATTAAATTAAACAAAAAAATGTTAATTTTTCTAATAGCCTTAAGCATTGTTTGGCCGCACAAATTTACATTAAAATAAATCCTCTATGTAAACATAATTTAAAAAACATCTATCATATTATATAGTTTTCCATTCCAAATTGTATTATATAACTCTAATATTTGCATAGGTTGACTGATAATGGAAGTCGATAAAGATTCTTAAAGTAACGTGACAACCTGACGCATAGTTTTTATTCATTTATATATATATATATATAAAGTATGGTTAACAATTATTAAAAGACTTGCAGAGACATCAGTGAAAGTAAACTTCAAAAATAAAAAAAATTGATATATTATTTCAACTTAAAGTAATTATACATTAGTGTAACTACTTTATTTTTTTTTTTTTGTCGTTCTCCATCTTATTTTTATGTAAATATACTATTTGATCTTAAAGGAATTATACATTATTTTTCAATTCGGTCAATAATATTTTTAAAATTTAAGTTTTATCATTAATGTTTTAAAAAAATTAACTAAAAATCTCTACTCCATTACGCCATTTTAAATTCAATAACATGTTACACTTTAAGTTTCAATGAAATATCTTTCTTTATTTGTGATACACATCAAAGTTTCGTAACATTATTTAGACGGTGCATTGAAAATCGCAATCCTCTCTTATATTTATTATTCGATCAGTAGTAGAAATGAAGCTACAAGAATTATTTCTTGAGGTCTCAAGCCACCAAAATTATCTCTCATATAAAATATTATTTTTTTAGATGTCAGGTTACTGTTTTATATTTAATTATTTCAAAATATTTAATTATTTCCATATTTTTATTGAGTATAAATTTGGAATAGATTTTTTTAGCAATGGATATAAATTAAATATAAGATATACTTTTTACAAATATGAAAACTTTCGTTTTCAGAACATGGGAGGATGCAAGCATTGAAATCCATTCAGTTGTTATTATTATTATTTTAAATAACCTTAATGGAATGATTGGTGTGTCGGTTGAACCAAATATTATATTGAAGAAAATTTTGATAAATTAATAAGGTGTTGATGCATGTGAGACAAAGTAAATGTTTAAATTAAGAATGAGTGCAAACATTTGTTAGTTTCACATGTTTCATGGTCAAGAGATAATGTCGTGGATGAGATACTTTGGAAATTTATAAATGTTCAATGTTTACAAATTTTACGTCTTAGATTTATGGATTTAAAACTTTTTCCAAATGCAATTTGTCCTTATTTCTGGCATTCATATTTATTACTCTTTTATTTAAATGCAAACGATTAATATTCCAAATTTGATTTTGTAAACATTAAATTAACGACAGAGGAACAAGAAAAGTTGGAGGAAGAATGTTTTCGAATTTTTTCAATAATGGAAGATTTTGGAGATTTGGTATTTTTTACTTTTGAAAAGTCTAATTAGGCAAAATTCAAAGGATTTAAAATGTAACTTCCCAAGCAACCATTTTTTGATTTTAAAAATTAATTAATATTGAGGTGTAGAACAAAAGGGTATATTAGTAAATTGGATGATGGGTACCATCTTGGTTGTTTCATGACAAAAGTGTAAATTTTTTACATTCAATGCTTCTATGTAATTATAGTCTTTAAATAGCCTATTAATGTAGTATATTCCCTTAGGTGTCGTTTGTTTTTCGAGAATGTAGATGACTGACATCTAGAGATGTCCAGAATTTTAGATGTCCAGCATCTTTAGATAACCATGTTTGTTATGTAGGAATATTTTTAAAAATATTCACAAATATTTGGATAAACACGTTTGTTTTGCAGGATTTATTGTTAGGAATGTGTTAAATTTATATAATGTTCCAAAAATGTCCTCACAAGTATTTATATAATTTATAAATTCATCTGATATAATAGATTTATTTGATTTAATTTAATATTTTTATTTTTTATATGTTATTTTGTAGAACAGATTAATTCATTATTAATTTAATATAACTTTCATTTTCAACTTTAATAGTTTTTCAAAAGGACAATTATATAATTTATGTTATTCTCGGTGAAATTTATTTATCGTATCATCACAATATATTTTTTTAGGAGGAAAAATATCACGGGTATGTTGTTTGTAAAAAAATGTTGCTTTAAAATTATATATTTATGATAATAAATATTAATAATAATGTAACTACTTAACACTATTAAAAATAAATGGAGATATTATACAATTTAATTATAGTTTATTTTACATGTAAATCTAATGTACAAATATACTTAATAGCATAGAGTTATTTATTAGACGATGAGTATATTAATTTATTTCAATTATAAATTTAAAAATAAAAATAAAGAAATTTTTGATGAGAAATTAAAAAAATTTGATGAAAGAAAATATATGGAGAAAAAAATGGAGGACAAAAATGTAAAAAGTAGATGTCCTGAACACGGGAATCTTGGAAACCTGTGTTTCAAAAGGCATACAAAACTCGTAAGATGTCTCCCGTATGGGCATCCTAGGATACCCGGACATCTCGAGATACCCGGGTATCTTACATTACTGCAAAACAAACGTGGAAATCCAGATACCCGTCTTAAGTTGGAAAGTTTGAAGACTTAAATAGCGTGTTAGTGTGATGCTAGTTAGATGGAATTGGAAGTGTATTACTTTTCTCAATTGGTCGAAATAGAAGTTCTTCCTTTGATTAATTTCTCTCTAGCTTACACCTTGTTGTTATATTAGTTTTTTTTCTGTTACATGGTTGTTATACCTCTCATTTCTTAGATGCGAGATTATAGTGCAAGCACACTATCACAAGTAGTACAAGGAAGAATTTGAACTGCGTCTCCACAAGACTTAAGTTTCTAAATTAATCTGTGATTCATTCAAGTGATTTAATCATGTTTAGATGACCCAAATATTAGTGATGGGTTTTTGAAAATTACTTCGATTCACAAAAAATTAATTATAAAATTAAAACCCTTCAACTACTACCTAGCCAGTAACCACGAACTCTGCATAGAACCATGCACACTAGATTCAACTTCTATTCAATACTGCTTTTAGTTGTTTATGAAATTAGGCATACCATTAAATATGCATATGAACAACTAGAATCTTAAGTAAACCAATATTTGTAGAGGTTTTATGTCTAAAATCTTATTTAAACACTTTATGCTACTTCCCATTTTAAGTCTACGAATTTTTTTTTAATCCTAATATTTTAAGTATTCAACTATATTTAATTTCATTACTTTAAGTGGCTTGATTCAAGAATCAAAGTTAAGAAAAAGTTAAGAAATAGAGCGTTCAACATTTTGCTTCATCAACAATTGTGTTTATTTTAGAAATTAGACTACATCATTTGACACAAGGATCAGATGGTAATTTAAGTCATGGTAGATAGAAAGAAAACATTGAACGAAGAAGAAGAAGCATAAATCATTTTTATTAAGAAATAGACAACGGTTACACGATGTAAATTAAGTAATAAAATACTAAGTTGAAAATATCAATAGAGAATTATAAGAATTTTGAAACGCCTATTCGAGTGGAAACTCACTAGGACTCAAATTCGCACAAGACTAGCTTATTTCTTGTGATCGAGTAATGATAATAGAAAAGAAATGACTAACTCTATATAAGTTGGGAAATAAAAGCTAGAATTTAGAGGTAACGCTCATGGGAATGATCGAATCTTTACATACTAAAACTAATGGAAAATAATGCTCCTCGCATACCCTCTAGCTTTTACAACATTGGATAGTCCTGAGGGGATCTGCTTTCTCATCTTTAAGGAGTTTTACTCGACTTAACAGATCATCCAATTGATTCTGTTCATACAAGGATATGCACAACAGTGTATTTCCGATTACAGCTCGAACTCGGCCCCCGAACCGATCTGAATACTCGGGCGGACCTGCACAGAAAGGTGAGCACTCCGACGATCAAGTCAGTACAGGTCGGACTCTTAGTTTAGTTCGAGGTCAGAAATCATCGTACCTGATCGTGGAGTGAGGTCCTCTACTTATG